ACACGAGATATCCTTCCTAATAGAAAAAAACCTGCCATTTGATATAATACTGGGAATGGATTGGCACGAGGAGGGGCAGTGTGCGCTTTTTAAGTTTTTATGCTTTTGTTCGTTTTGTTGTGTTTTGTTTTGTTTCTTTCGCAAAACTTCAATTGTCTTGGGGTGAATTTGGCTGCTCGGTTACTTTATTATGCATGAGAAACACAGATTCAATCGCTCGCCACAGCAATGCAGGTCCAAAAAGAAAAAAAAGAAAAAAAAAAGGAAAAGACAAGAAACACAGATTCTTTTTTTTTTGTTCAGAGTTTTTCCTTGTGTGCAGTTTTTTGCAAGCTACTGGTTTTATGGGTTTGCGGTTTTAGTTGTCAAAAAAGGAGTAAATACTAAATATAAGATTATTTTATCATTATTAATTCCATTTTAATTTCCAGTTTTAGTTATCAACTTATCAAAAAGCAATAATTTTCGATTTTAATTTTTGCTTCCATATTTTTTAGTGATCCAAGATTCCCAGGGTCATTTCAACTTCATTTCCACGATTTTCGTTTCTGCGGTTTCCCTAAACTAGTAAAAAAAAACTTAAAAAGTAAACAAAATTAGAAATTTCAGTCTGTTGTATTTTTCATTTTCCCATACTATATAAATACATTTTGGGATTGAGAACCCGAAAGGGAGGGAAAAAAAAAAAAAAAAAATCCCATAAGGTCTACGGTACAGTATTTACTATTTAGTATTTACTATTTAGTATTTTACTATTTAGTATTTTACTATTTATAGTAATGAACCCAGTCTGACAGATACTCAGAAGTCGTCAAACATCAGTAGTCTCATTTTCTGTAGAAAGTCTCCAATAATTGTGAGTGATATCCCAAATAGTATGTCATTACCAGTAGACGAGGAGAGTGGAGGGGGATTAGACAGAGGAGAAGGTGGATGACATCAAAGATCACACAAGAATAATCCCATCAAAGTCCCACTCCTTCTCCAGGCTTCTTCCCTCTCCACGTCAGCAACCAGTAATTGATAACAAGTAAATTCTGATCACACAGTAGTGCCACGTGGCACTCTTATCTCATGAAGACCATGAAGACACAGCAGATTATAGTGACGACGTCAACATCAGGTGAGTACCCAAACCCAATCTTCCACAGATCCCGACCTTCCTCCTCCTCGCAACCAGTCACCTCATGTAGACACTCATGTAGACCGTGGACAATGCCACGTCAGCAGTCAAGACAGGTGGCATACGCCACATCATCAATGAAGATTAGTGGCACACGCCACGTGAGCAATGTAGACTAGTGGCAGGCACTGCATCATCATGCAATGTAGTCCTGAGGCAGCACCTCATGCAATGTAGACCAGAGGCAGCGCCACATAGACCAAAGGTAGCACCACATCAGCATGCAATGTAGACCAGAGGCAGCACCACATAGACCAGAGGCAGCGCCACATCAGCATGGAATGTAGACCAGAGGCAGCACCATATAGACCAAAGGCAGCGCCACATCAGCAAGCAATGTAGACCAGTAGCGCCTCGTCAGCATGCCTGGCCCACAATGCAGAATGCGCCAGAATGTTGCCACAGTCCCTATCATCGTCCGCAATGCCAGCATACAACCAGCGTCGAGCCAGCACTTTGCCTGCGTAGTCGAAGTCAAGCCATCGCTCAAGCAGCATAGCAAGACTGAATGCTTGACTCACTCGAGGCCAGCCTTAAGTAGCAGTTGTCGAGGCTTGTCTGGCCTCGGGTGCTTTTCCACAGCCGTCCAGATTGACTCACACCTGATGGCCCGGATTGTACAGTTGCAGACTTCTCCCTTGGTCCTGATGCTGTCTGGGTACCTGCATACAAACAAGTGTGTGTGCTTGACCAGTGGCCTGGGCTAGGTACCTTTGGACTTTGACTGTTGGGGTCACGACAGTTGACCAAAGTCAACTATCACACGTCCAGGCTTTGACTCCTCCTGTGGGGTCCTTTTTAACCCCGTTTCGACCTGGGCTGAGGGTGGCCGAGTTGGCCCTCGGACTTTCCACGAGACATATGGCATGGGTTATTGCATTCCTGCCGGCCTTGTTTTCAAGTTCCATCGCTGAAAATACATTAATTTTCACTTAACCCACGTTCATATGCAGCAACAATATCAGGAGCAGTAGGTGGGAGTCCTTTCCTACTAAACCATCTGGCTTCAGATGGGGGTTGGGTCTTGAACTTTACCTTATACTGCTTCTAAGGTCGTCCTCTGCCACCTATATAAAAATAACCATGTTGCAATATCCTTTCAACTTCATAGCCTCCATTCATAGAGGGTGGAAACATAAATGGCCTATTTGGAAAGTTATCACTTTCTACATAGGGTAGCAGCTTAGACGCATGGAAGACATGGTATGTCCTTAGATGTGGAGGTACATCTATACGATAGGAAGGTCCATCTTCACCTCCAATTACTTTTAGAACTTCCCAGGGCCCGTAGTATGTCGGTAGTAGTTTCTGAGACACATTCTCTCTTAAGGAAAACTCTTTAGACTTAACCCAGACAAAGTTCCCTTCTTGAAATTGTGAAGGTCGACGATTTCTATTAGCTTGTTCAACCATTTGTAGTTGGGCTTTCTGTATGTTTTCCTTAACCTTTTTGATGTTTTTTTTATAAAACTGCGAATTCTCGTGTACCTGGGGGTAGCCTTTGAACTTGGTCCCGTATTAATGCATCAATGGGACGCCTAGGTTTCCATCCTTTATGCACTGTGTTAGGCGTTCCTCCTGTAACAGTATGTATACGGTTATTGTAGGCACTAGCAATTTTAGGCAAGTTTTCATCCCAATCGATTTGGTCAGGTCGGACATACATTCGTAAAAGTTGTTGGCAAAGACGATTCATTTGCTCAGTTTGGCCATTCGTTTCAGGATGTCTCCCTGACGACATGGTACCTAGTTCCATAGACTTCCATCAACTTCTGCCATTGTAGACTGGTGAATCGAACATCTTTATCTGATACGATGGTTTTGGGAAATCCATACTCAGAGACCCATCACATTTGAAACTTTTGAATGACTAGTTCGGTTCTAGCTTCAGCAGGGAAAGGAATGAACATACCATACTTAGAGAATCCTTCGACGATGACCATTACCTGACTGTTGTCGTTTCGACTCTTAGTAAGGCTCATAAAGTCAATAGAGATAGACTATTGTCGCAACAGTCCCATCGGATTCTCATGTGAGGGCTTGTTCCTTTGACAGACAAGACAAGTCCGCACATACGCTAGTACATCTTCCTTCATTCCTTTCCAATCAAAACGTTCACGCACATCGGCATACATCTTCATAAAACCAAAGTGACCTTCTGCATCATGGCATTCCCCAATGATTAAACTCTTGATTGATTCTAGGTGAGGAACACACAATCGTTCTTCGGTTTTATCGAGCAAGAAGAGTAAGTCATCAGCCATTCGATGTTCCGGAAACAACTCAGGTCACCTTAGATGGTTTTCACCTCGAAGTCAAATGTGTCAAGGAAAGCAGATCACCTTACCAACTTGTCGGAGAGCTTAGGCTGAGTCTTGATCCACCTCAAAGCAGAGTGATCAGAGTAGACAGTGAAATGCCTCCCTAACAAGTAGTGCGTCCAGGTGTCTAGTGCAACAACTAAGGCATACAATTCCCTTTCATAGGTGGAGTTGGCCACTTTCTCTGACGGAAGTCTTCAGGACATAAACTCAATAGGTTTATATCCCTTACCGTCGTCCTGCTGTAGCATGGCCCCAATCCCATACTGACTTGCGTCAGTTGTGACAATGAAAGGAAGAGAAGGGTCAACAATCTTTAAGACATGGTAGTGAGTTAGAACATGCTTTAACCTTGTAAATGATGACTCACAGTCTTTATCCCACAACCAAGGCTTTTCCTTTTTCAGTAATCTTCCCATTTGAGCAACTATCAAGGAGAATTTTCTGACGTACTTCCTATAATAGTTTGAGAGTCCTAGGAAAGATCTTAACTCAGTTAGAGTCTTCGGTTGTGGCCAATCCCGAATTGCTGTAATATTCTTTTCTTCAGACCTTAGTCCTTCCTCGTTTACTATATGCCCTAAGTATAGGACTTCAGGCTTAGCAAACTCGGACTTTTTCGGATTCAATTTGAAGTTGCCCTCGCGCAACTTTTGCAAGACCATTCGTAGGTGTTTCTCGTGATCTTCTAGTGTTTTACTATACACTAGAATGTCATCGAGGTAGACTACTACGCCATTGAGGAAACAATTCGTTCATTGACCTTTGGAATGTTGCGGGCGCGTTGGTCAAACCGAAAGGCATAACCACGAACTCTTAGTGACCATACGTGGTTCGGAATGCCGTCTTGTGTTGATCCTCAGGAGCCACCTCGATTTGGTGGTACCCTGATTTGAGATCAATCTTGCTAAAGTACCTGCATCCCTGCAACTGATCCAATAGATCGTCAATACGCGGAAGAGGCTCCGCGTTTTTGACAGTGATGGAATTCAGCCCATGATAATCTATACATAGACGAAGTTCACCTTCCTTTTTGGGTACGAATAAAACAGGCGTACCGTAAGGAGATGAGCTAGGGCGAATCCATCCTTTGTCAGTAAGTTATTGCAACTGCTTTCGCAGTTCCTCAAGTTCCCTGGGAGACATTCGGTAAATGGGACCCTTGGGAATCTAGCTTCTGGGAATGATCTCGATGGTGTGCTTGATAGTACGCTCAGTAATTCCCGTCGGCTCAATCTCCAAGTCCTTATATTCGTCAATAAGTTTTTCGATAGAAGGTGGATAGGATGAGGAACACTCACCTACTCGTTTTGACTAGTACCATCATCACCTCCTGATCCAACTTCTTCTTTACTACCATTGAACGAAAAGTTGGATAACTCATACAACAAAAATACAAAGTAGAGTCAGAGTCAAACCTATGATATAACTTTATAACGCGTAATTCAGACTTTTCGTCCTTGAGTTTGACAATTTTATCTTGGAACATAACCTACCTCGTTGTGTTAAAAACGCGGTCATCAAGCTGCCCGGGCCAAGAACCACGTTGAAGTAGAGCATAACATAGGCAAGGCTTGCCGGGAAGACAGGTTGACTAAGGAATAGCCGCCAGCCTTTCTCGATCGAGAAGAACGCACCGGCTGCATATATTGACAAAACAACAAACCAAAAAGTTCAAAGTCAAAGTCCAAGTCCAAGTCCGAAAAAGCCCAAGTCCAAAAAAGCCCAAGTCCAAAAAAGTCCAAGTGCAAATCCAAGTCCAAGTCCAAGTCAAAGCCAAGTCAACGTCGAAGTCAAAGTCAAAGACAAAATCGAAGCCAAAATCGAAGCCAAGTTAAAGTCAAAGCATGACTATGAACGATCACCAAAGTCAAAGTCAAAAGTCAAAGCAGTCCAACTCAAAGTCAAAGTCCAAGTCGAAGACAAAGTCAAAGCATGACTTTGAACGATCCCCATAGTTCCGATGTCTGAGGACAGCGGACATCAGTCAGGGTTTCTATTATCTGTGGCTATAAATAGATCAAGAGTTCAAAGTCCAAAGTCCAAAGTCCAAAGTTTCAAACTTCAACTCTATAAATAAAATCAAATGAAGTTTAATGAAGGCAATAATAATACAAGAAAGCAGCTTTGAGGGGGGGGCGGTGGGGAGAAACATTTTGTGGTTCCATGCAAGAGCCGGCGAGGCTGGTGGGACCCGGCGCGGCTGGCGTTGTTGCCCTTACCTTTGCTGCCAGCAGGCTCCGTGCGAATATGATTATTCTCGGAGAAGCCCTTCGGTGTCACTGTCGCCCTTGCTCTGCCCAAGACCTGACTGGATAATTTGTCAGTCCGAAACACCAACCAAATCTGCACGTCTTTTTCCAAACACAAACACAAAGAACATCGGCAATCAGTATTATTTTAATTTATCTATTGATTTTATTTTTCCTTATTATTTTTCAAACACAAACACAAAGAACATCGGCAATCAGTATTATTTTAATTTATTTATTAATTTTAATTTTCCTTATTATTTTTCTAGTTCTGATTTTCAAATTGGTGATGTGCCTGGTGCAGAAGGGGGAGCGAGCAACCGTCACTGTACCAATCGAGACAAAAGACGGCGGTGGTGTTCGCGGCCGTGGTGGAAAGCTGTGCTCTCTGACCGGGGCCCGGCGGACATAAGACGTGCAGATTTGGACCGACAAATTATCGGAAAGCTGTGCCCTCCAGCCAGGGCCCCACCGGATCTTCGCATCAGCCTTTTTATAATTTGGTGGTGTTTGCTGCCGTGGTGCAAAGCTGTGCTCTCCGGCCGGCCCACCGGATGTTGATATTGTCTGGTGTTTCCGACCGACAAATTATCGGAAGGTGCGTCTTGACTCTTGAGAGCTGTGCTCTCCGACCGCCCCACCGAATCTTCGCATCAGCCTTTTTAAGTTTTTACTGCAACCTGCCGTGGTGGTGTTTGCGGCAGTTTGCCCTCTCTATCGACGACCCTCTTTCGGCAATGCTCTCCACAAATAATAATACAAGAATAATAAATATAATAATATATATAATTTACTAGGCTGGGCCGCCGCCCGGCCGGTTGGGCCCAGGGGGGTTCGCCCGGCGAAACCGGGCGACGCAAAAACACAGCAAGGAATTTTTTTATTTTTTTTTTGAAGGCGGGGTTGTGCTGCGCT